GTGGGCCAAAGAGAACAGGATGGGGTTCAACACTGACAAGGCATGCACCAGGGGAGGAAGAACCAGTGGCACACCTACAGGCTGGGGAACTCCCTTCTCGCCAGTGTTGAGACAGAAAAGGATCTTGGAGTCATCATTGATGCCACGATGAACATGGGCCAACAGTGAAGGGATGTGGTCAGGAAGGCCAACCATACCTTGTCATGCATCCACAGATGCATCTCAAGCAGGTCCAAGGAGCTGATCCTCCCCCTCTATGCGACACTGGTCGGGCCACAGCTGGAGTACTGCATCCAGTTCTGGGTGCCACACTTCAGGAGGGATGTGGCCAATATGGAGAGGGTCCAAAGGAGGGCCACCCGCATGATCAGGGGTCAGCAGGGCAGGCCCTACGAGGAGAGGCTGAGGGACCTGACCCTGTTCAGCCTCCAAAAGAGAAGGCTGAGGGGGGATCTAGTGGCAGTCTACAAACTAGTCAAGGGGGGCCAGCAGGCATTGGGAGAGTCCCTGTTCCCCCGAGCAATCCCGGGAGGTACAAGAAACAACGGACACAAGCTAGGGGAGGGTAGTTTCAGGCTAGACATTAGGAAGCGCTATTTCACTGTCAAGGCAGCTAGGACCTGGAACCAACTTCCAAAAGAAGTGGTGCTGGCTCCTACCCTGGGGGGCTTTAAAAGGAGGCTGGACGAACATCGGGCCGGGGTCGTTTGCCCCTAGTACTCTTCCCTGCCACAGCAGGGGGTCGGACTAGATGATCTCCTTAGGTCCCTTCCGACCCTTCCAACTATGAAACTATAGAACTGACATAAAAAAATGAACGCCAGCTCAGGCAAACATTTTTTTTATGACAATCATCTTTTTAATTTTATGTGAAAGTCAATCATTCAGATCCCTGTCTCACTTTTTGCAGACACTGCCTTGAAATTCATGTACTTTACCTGGATAGGGTTTAAATCATGTTCAGGCAATTATTTTGGCTGGAGAGCCACTTAAGGAGTTTCAGTGAGTTCTTGATGGACAGGGGCAGAGGAGGGGGAAGGAGGAGAAGATGCCTACTGATCCTATCCAACCCACTGGCTGCTGCTGGGAACCTGAGGAGGGAGGGCTGCACCTTGAGTGGCTCTGTTTTGCCGCAGCTGGAGCTGGGCTAGGCTGGGCTGCACAACGTGCAGACTCCTCTCTCCCCCTGCATCCATTTCTGCCCTGTTGCCACCTGACTTCCTATTGATGATGTGTAGTCCTGGCACCATGGCCACCAGCAACCTGGCCTTCATGGTACAGGGTGTGATACAGTGCATCGAGTAGCTGTCCCACCCACCTGCCTGCCATGATGCGCTGCTGCTTGCTGCCGTGCCACGCTAACAAAGCTGGCAGTGGCTGCCTCGGGGCCAGCCCCGCCCCAGCAGCATAGACTCACCTCCTAGTGGTGCTGCAGTGGCAGTAGCTCAGTGCAGCCGGTGGGACAGCTACTCGGCATGCTGCGTGGCACCCTATCCCATGAAGGTCTGGCTGCCAGTGGTTGTGGTGCCAGAACTACATAGATGCTGCACCAACAGGAAGCTGGGTGGCAGGAGGCAATAGATACAGAGGAGTGTGGAGGGTGGAGGAGTCTGTGTACTTTGTGGCCCTGCCTGGCCAAGGACACAACCCTCCCTCCTCAGGCTCTTGATGGTGGCTGGAGTGCCAGATAGGGTCAATTGGTGGGCCAAATTTGGCCTGCGGGCCATATTTTGCCCAATCCTTGTGTAAAGCAACATTGGTTACAACTTTGCTTAATTCCAGAATGAAAACTGCTAGTTGGACAACACTGTTCCTGTAATCTACTATTCCATATTTGTGTCTCAGTTTTCAGACAAGAAGCAGTTGCTTCAGAATTGGTTTAGCCACAAGCTCATATCTATATAAGAAACAGGCACTCCATAAAACTTGGCAAGGTACTGATGCCTATCCCATCCTCACGTGCTTATTAGCTATCCCCTTATTCATCTGTACAGTCGTGACCTAAACTTAGAGCAAAATCAAGACAACTGATTAACTGAAGCAACCAACCTTGACAGCCACAGTCCTGCAAAATTACAAGCATCAAGCTTGTTGTCCAATTTGCACAACCACAAGTCATACTATATCAGCCAAATAATAACTACTTCATAGGTACTGCATCCATAGAGGATGCATAGATGTAGGTAGAGAACCACCTTTGATTCAGCAGCGTGGCAGAGAAGGAAGATTCCTTTCCCAGCTTAATTATGTTTATCTATATAACCTTGTGCAACTCATATGGGCTATGATCAGGCACACACTGGGCATGTCTACATGTGCAATAAATTCAAAGTCGGCTTACTACGCAGTAAAAATACTGTGCAGCGAGCCTATGGGGGAGCATATCTATATGTTCTCCCTCTTGGGAGCAGATCTGCCCCCACCCTGCTCTGCCCCCCTGGTGGGGGCTAGAAGATTGGTTCCTGCCCCTGGGAGTTGCCTGTTGCTGAGGCAGGCTCTAGTCATAGAATCACAGAATCATAGAAGTAGGGTCGGAAGAGACCTTGTAGATCTTCAAGTCTGACCCCCTGCCTGGGCAGGAGGAAAACTGGGCTCAAATGACCCCAGCCAGGTAGGCATCAAGCCTCTTCTTAAAGACCCCCAGGGTAGGAGCCCTACCACTTCCCTTGGAAGTTGGTTCCAGATCCTAGCCGCCCTTAGTGTGAAGTAGTTCTTACGGATGTCTAATCTAAACCTACTCTCCAATAACTTGTGGCCGTTATTCCTTGTTATCCCGGGGGGCGCTAGGGGAAACGAGGTCTCCCCCAAACCCTTCTGGTCCCCCCTAGTGAGTTTATAGACGGTCACCAGGTTCCCCCTCAGCCTTCTCTTGTGAAGGCGGAACAGGTTCAGGTCCCGTAGCCTCTCATTGTAGGGTCTGCCCTGCTGCCCCTGGATCATGCGGGTGGCCCTCCTCTGGACCCTCTCAATGTTGTCCACATCCCTCTTGAAGTGGGGTGCCCAGAACTGGACACAGTACTCCAGCTGTGGCCTGACCAGGGTTGCGTAGAGGGGGAGGATCACCTCCTTGGCCCTACTTGAGATGCACCTCTGGATGCACGATAAGGTCTGGTTAGCCCTTCCAACCGTTTCCTCGCATTGTCGGCCCATGTTCATCTTGGAGTCAATGATGACTCCAAGATCCCTTTTTGTCTCCGTGCTCTCAAGAAGGGAGTTTTCCATCTTATAAGTGTGCTGCTGGTTACTACTGCCCAAGT